TTAATTCTTCTTTTTATTTTTTCTTATATCATTAACGACTTTGTGATAATATTGGAGAAACCTGATTTCAAGTAATATTAGTTTTATTACTTGTATTTCTTACATTTATTTAAATATCAAGCTAATTTCACAATTTCGTTTCGAGAAAATCCAGAGATTTTAAAAATAGAAATATCATACATTGGAAGTTAAATTTTATATAGTGTTATCGATCCCACTGCAATAGTTACGTTATCAAAACTTCGTTTGATTAAAAGATTCAAGAAATATTTTTGAAGAGAATATTTTATAAATTATACGAATAATTGCGTGCGAAGCAAAAAGAAAATAAATATATTTGTTTCCTACTTCAATTATTTTTAGAAACTCGCAATTTTCAAGCTCTTTCTGAAATGCATTTTTATCGGGTTAATTATGATTAAATGGCTTTTGACTGACACTGATCTTGATCAATTTCTTATAAAATTCTACGAGCGTTTCAACTTTCTTGACACGAAGACAGGCTTTCGAAACTTTAAAGTGCCTTACAACGTTAGTGTGCGCTAGCGATTTCCTTTCTTGAAAAACAGATTACCATAACGAGACGACGTTTGAGCATACGCGTAAAATCGCTACGAAAAATCACGCGGATGACAGTTTACTCGCGTGCTGCACAAGTAAACGAATGGCTTTGCGTGTAACGATGTATAAAATATATATCATATCATATACACCTTGCCTCAGGCAAGATTAACAGCTTCAAGATCTTTTGTCGAATTTGATTAAATTTTATCAAAAATTTAATAAAAAGTTATTCCTTATCACATTTATTTATCTTGTAAGTATGAGAGAATTTAAAAATTAATATCTTTCTTAAATTTATTTAGAATTTATTGAAAATTGAATTTATACTTATGTTCGTGGAATTTAATAAAATGTTTAAAATTATTAATTTTTATTTCTATGTAATATTAAAAATCTTTTTTTTTGTTACGTTTATATTTTTACTAACAGAAAATGGACGCTAATTTATCAAAATCTAATCTGTCAAAATCATTTTTGTATACTTATGCATATGTTTTGTACTTTCGTGTTGATGAATTTTTATCGTCAGATTACTATGATTATCGTCTACAATAAAAGTACAACTGCGTCTGCAGGTAAAATAAACAGTAACAATAGCGATTAGCGAGACTAAAATTCTTTCTTACTTTCAGGATAAAATAAGTGCTCCGCACAAAACGTCCCTTAGATTTAATTAGTGTCTTGCAATAATTATGCGCGCTGCGGAAAAAACCCTCGAGGAAGTGTTTCCTACGAATGTGTAATTATTAAAAGTACCGTCTGCACATTTTTCTATTAAATCATATAAGGATATGGATATAAATCCAATGAATGCGAATATTAAGTCTCTTTTATCGTTTACAAAATATTCGTATAAAATTAACGAGCCAATATGAACCGAAAGAATAATCACTTTTTTATCATGTTTTCTCCCAGATTTAATAAAAATCATTCATAATTACGAAAATTAATATACAAAAATCGTTATTGCGCTCTATTCAGGTTCGGATGTAAACAAGTAAAAATGAGTCAGTGAAGTTTGAAAATAGAATTTTATTAGCTACGTAGCAAAATACCTATTTATTTAAATATTTGGCGTCACACGATTTACCAGACTAAGATCATTTATATTAATATACAATATGTAAAATGTGCCGTATATTGGATATGGGCAGTGTCCGTGGTGGTACGATAAACTTAAACTTCAATACGAGATTCATACGAGAGATATAAATATATATTATTTTACATGCTAGAATAGAGTACGCTATAAAGGCACTTGCTCTTGAATAATTATACACATATATATATATATATATATATATATATATATATATAATAAAGAAAGAAACAACATA